ACGAAAAGTATGAATGTCAGTTGCACCACAAGTTCGCCCTGTAGATGCGAGGAGATCAAAACCACAAAAAGCCCACCGCAAGGAATGGCTGGCTGGGGAATTCTGGGAGTTGAAGTCTACGCATCTTCAAGTGGCCAAGGTTGAGACACACTGCCTTAGACTGTGGGTTGACCAAACAGGGTTGGCTTTGGCCATGCACCAAGCTCCCCTCCCCAAATACCCCCAAGTTAGAAACCGCCAAGCTTAGTGTGCTGTATGAATGTGGATGCTGTGTGAAGCTGAATGGGCTGTGTAAACACAGCTGCTACGTCGGGGAACAAAAAGACATTTCCTCTAGTGAGCATAACGGGCGAGGGGAGTAGGCGCTTCCCCAGGATTTGCGGAGATTTGCTTCTGGTCTTCGGCGTCCTTGCCGCTGGCAGACGGCAGACATGGGAATGAATGCCAGGGAAGGGCACCCGTCTCTCGCTGCTGCTCTGGGTCGGCCAGTCTTGCACAAACCAGCAATTGGGGGCGTTAATCAGAGAGGAGGCCTAGCTGGGTCGCAGTCCTGGGCATGGGCCAGAGCGTGCGCCATGCTCCCTCTCCCCACACCCCACCCTGTGAAGTCATCAGGGAATGCCCGGCCTCTGAAAGAGAAAGTAATGCCAACCCTGGCCACTAAAGGGAAACCTCCCAAGGCCGTTCGAGGCAGCGTTCATGGCATGGTGTCCACCCTTCGGGGTTGGCCAGGTTGAGAAGCTGACCCCGCAGGGATTCTAGGAATGCTACTTTATTGTCGTAGGGTATGATAACAAAAACTGAAAAGCAAGTTTCTCTCTGTCTCGTCTTATACTGAACCAAATCAAGGCGGGGCTATTTTGGGTTTCTTTCTCACGCATCTTTCGAACCCTGGACTGGGTCGTCTCTTCTCCAAGGCCCTCCTTGACAGCTCCTTTCAAGAGGCCAGCTCTCAATTTCTTTGCCTGTGCTGCTTCGAAATAGGCCAAGAGCTCTTCATTGAGAAGAAACCCAGATTGGTGGGATTCTAGCTTGCCGAGGGAGCGGTCAGCCGGAAGTGGCAAGGCTGGTGGTGCTACGTCTGAAAGTGAGCCCAGCTTCTTCTCTGGAAGCCAGAGGGTCCCGCTCAGGCCAGAGCGAACCGCGAGCTGGAATTTTCAGCCCTTTTGCTCTATTGTTGCTTGGGGTGCCTGCCTTTAGGAAATCCGCTGTAGTGGACAGAGCGTTTTTCTTCTCCGATCCTAGGGCCAGGGGTCATCTAGTGAAGGTCACTGGAAGGAGATTTGATAGAAACAGCCCCCCCCCCGGTACCTCTTTCGCCCCGTGAAAAATTAACCAGCGGAATTCATTGCCACAAGGTGTGACCGCTAAGTCGCATGGCTTTAAAAAGGAGTTGGATAAACTCAAGGAGGGCGGGTTCTGCGTGCCGCCAGGTCCAGCGCAGGGGAATAGCGGAGCGTCCCAGGGCTTGTAAGGAGGAGATGGAGACCTGGCCCTCTCCCACCCTTGTTCCCTTGTCAGTTTTCAAGGCAGGCCAGGCGAGGAAACCGACGCTGCAAGGAACACAGGAGAGCCGCTTTAATATACTTCACGGTATAGTAGCAGGGTCTTGAATGCCCACCCGGGTTTCGGTCCGCCCCTCTTATACCCAACAGAATCACGCGGGGTTATTCTGAGTTTCTTTCTCCCGCTTTCCCGTTCCCCAGGACTTCGTGGAGGTGATCTCTGCAATCTGCAGCGGCTGGGTTTTCTTTTGAAAACCGCACTGGTTTTGTCATCCGTGAGGGATTGCCCAGTTGGCATATTTCAATGAAAGGGAAGACGATTTCTTCAGAAGCCAACCAAGGCTGTCTCGCTTTCCAGCGAAAGAGAGAGTGTAGAAAATGCAGGACCTGCTCCAGACTTCCTCATTCTCACACCTTTGGCGTGAGTGGGGATCGCAAGAGCCAAAATACCCTGATCTGCCGGACTACAGCTCCCATCACGTCTCCGGCCGGCACCAGCCGTCTGGTTCCAGATGGGAGGAGGCAGGACTTCCAAGGGAAGTTTCGTGCCCAACACCCCTTCTGCCTTTCCCAGCCCAAGCGTTCAACCTTTCTCCCGGGGTTTTTGTGTGCAACTTCCCTTCTGCCAAAAAACCAAAGTGTTTTGCAAGGCCGGGAAGCGTGCGGCTTGTGGCCACCGTGGGAAGGGGGAGGTATGAAGCCACACCGGCGTTGGAGGCGGGAGGATTTTAAGTTGCACGTCAAAGAGAACACAGACAGGAAGGGGTTGGGAAGAACTTTCGGTGCCCGAGGGCCCTCGTTGGGGACAGGCAGGACGGACAAGTGGTTTGATCCGCTGGCGAAGGCGGTCTCTGCCCCTTGCCAGGCCAGGCCAGGAAAGTGTGTGTGATCTTTGAACCCCTCTGTCCCGGGATTCCTCGGCGCTGTTAATTTGCGAAATGCTTTTGCAACAAACCGGGACTGCTGTTTTGCAAGGGAGCCTGGACTTAGGACCGGAAAGCGTAGAATCAGGGAAAGGGACGGAGAAGAATCCAAATTAAAGCATCTCGGAGGAATGCTTTAATTGGTGGGGAGCCAGCCATCCCACTGGGTTCATTGTTCCCTCATTGAGGGCTCTGTTTGTACCCATCAGTAACCAGGTTGTTTAAAAAACCTAGTACCTGCAGGCCGACAGCATTAGCCTGAGTTAATCCACCATTCTGTTTGTTGTGTAAACTGGTTCGCCAAGGCGACTTTATGGTTTACGGTGCATCCGGAGACAGGTTAAATGCATTGTGTGAATCCACCCCGTGCCTCTTTAATCTCCCCAGAAGGTGTAGCATCCGATCACCTGTTCTCAGCTCTGTGCCTGGCATTGCCAAGTGGGGTGAATGTTGACAAAATGTCGCCGGAGAAGTCCTCGAAAGGACAGTAACATAAACCCTAAAACCAGCTTGGCCTATGTGAAATAGAGAACGGGAACAGTTTCCATCAAAGTAATAGCACTAACGAATGGGGGAGAAAGCATTTTGCTGGGTTCCTGCATCACCTCAGCCTGGTGCCCGTGGAAAGAACCATGAAAGACGGCCAGGGCAGCGCCATCTGGGCCTTGGGTGGAAAGCTGTTTCAAAGGGCGGGTGTGGTGGCAGAGAAGATGCCCGTCCTGGGTCCCATGAGGTGGCATTCAGTCGATGGGACCTGGAGTGGGGCAGCCCTGTCTGATCTTGTAGGAAGGGCAGACCCACTTGGAGAGCAGCTATCCCGCAAATAGTCAGGCTTTGCAGATGACCAGCAGCACCTCGAATTGGACCCAGAAGGTAACTGGCAACCAGTGCAACTCAGAAAGGAGCAATGACACGTGGGCATGGCACGAGGCGTCCATAACTACATACACCACCACATTCTGGAGAACTGTAGCTTCGGAGGGGTCTTCATGGACTTTTTGGGGAGGCCAGGATGATGAATGAGGGGGGCTGGAATTCCACACGCACCCACACTAGACTTGGGGTATCTTCCTTTGCTCTCTAATGCAAAAGCCAGCCTTTTTTAAGACTCACCCTCACGCTTTAATGCCTTTCCAGCCTCAGTAAGGTTGCCCACCGCTTTGGCATCAAAGGAGGCTTTGAGGGGCGCAAAATATGGAGGCTCAGGGTTTGCCCACCCCTGTGGTCAACACAGCTGTGGTCTCGCCCCGTGCGAGAGACCCCATGCAAGTTTAATAAATTATGAAATCCCCTAAGTTTCAGAAAAATGACCAGTTCAAGCAGAATGGCTGAAGGGTGGCCTGGGCACCCCAGTTCCTGCCCCTGCTTGTGCGCAGGGCCAGCAGCCCACTCACCCTCTCCTACCATCTTCCTTGCAGATTTATGTGCGCTCAGCTGCCGAACCCAGTTCTGGACAGCATCAGCATCATCGACACGCCGGGGATCCTGTCCGGGGAGAAGCAGCGGATAAGCAGAGGTGATGCTTAAAGGGGGGCGTGGGCGGTTACAGTCGTGCTTCCTCGTTTTGCAGGCTCTGTTGTATCCTCCACTCGAAAGAAAAAAAATGAGGGTTTTCAAACACCCAGCTAGAAATTGAAAGGGTGCTGGAAGCGTTTGTGCAAAAACCCACCCAATTTTTATTCATGGAAAACCTGGATAAACCAATTTGCGTTGGGCTGAGAGTTGATCCAATCGGGCACCTTGGTGCTGTTAGCTAAGTGGTCTTCCTCCCCACCCCAATTGCTAGCCCCCCACCTCTGAAAAGTGATGGGGAGCCTAAACTGTCAAGGATGGATAAATTTGACCTTAGGCTACTTACCTCAATTTGGACATTGCTGATTTGCAGCTCCCAGCCTCCCGCACTATTGACCAAGGCGCCGCCCAAGGAACCAGTTTGGGGCTGCAGAAATATGTCCAACCACTAGACAGAAGCAAAGCTAACCCTTTTGTGTGGGTCTCTCTGCTGCCCTGCAGCTGCTGCCTAGAATTTTTGCAGCCCACTTCAGGGAGCTAAAGCTGCCGGTTGCATGCCCCCTTATGGACTTTTTCCACTTCCAGGCTGGCAGTGTCAGAAAGGGTACGCAGACTGTGCTCCCAAATCCACATGAAACTGGTGAAGGTTTTGAAAATTGTTCCCTGATGGAAAAGAAATCGAGGCGAGTTGCTTTAAAAGGAGCTGTCTGGCCCCTGTCTCTGGTGGGATTACGCCTCTGCGGCAGAGCATAGAAAGGTCTGTGGCCATATATCCGGCCCAGGGGTGTCTCCGTTGGACCCGTGGAAGCCTCAGTTGGGGCATCTTTTTGAAAGGTTTATCCCTCTGCACAGACAGGGAGTTGGCCTCTGCCGCCATTCAGTCCTAACTCAATGATTTTTTGGGCCAAACTTTGCACGTGCTCGGCAGAGATTTGAAAATGAAATCTTCCCTTGTGAGAGGCAGAGAAAAGTGTGGTGTGTGTGTGTGTGTGTGTTTTTCTCAGCTTCCAGCCTGCAACCTGCTTTGGGGAGGAACGTCCCCCCCTCCATTGCTCAAGATCCAGTT